TATGGATGAAACAGTGTTGTGCTGGGGTAGCGCCAACTAAATGATGTGCTCCGGAATATGGTGTGTGTCTCATAAGCTCCTCATGTGACCAAGGGTCACAGTTGTGTCAGGTAGCATCTTTGTCAGCTGCCCAAAAATCACTTGTCTAGAATATCTGTGTCAGTGTATCGGTAAGAAACAGCAAATAAAGTAAACATTGTTCATTTTGGTTCACTTATTCCCCAATAGAATTTTGTACAATAGATAGTGTTATAGCTATTTTACAAATGAGATGGTCCAGGGACAGATTATATAGGAAACCTCCCTAGATCCTCAGAGCTGCTACTTGGTAGGGCCAGGATAGTTGTGACCCTCAAAGCTGGTGCTCCTGGAGAWCAACCAGACTTCCATCACCTCTGTCCTTGCTGTTTAGCCAGACTGGATCCTTTACAATGTCATGGCTTGTTCTTCTTTCCCCTTCAGAGGTGTGTCTCCCATGTGATATTTAAATATCCCAAGGACAGGTACATTTGTTTTTGTCATGCCAATTTTTGCCTCTTATGATAATGATCTTATCCTACAAAAATTTTAGTTTTCCAAAGCAGACTTCTTCACTGTCGGTAAATCTTACTCAGTTTTTCAAATCAAAAGAAATTCAATAACCAYAGTCACCACAGAGCCACCACCAGGTCTTGGCCCAAGCTTGCCTTTGACCTCCTCTTCTCCCTCAGGTCTTTCAGATGTAGTCCCAGCACCCATGTGGGCTAAGGTAGTTAGATTTCCTTGCCTTTTTAAAAATTTTATAGATCATTGGTATGTATTGTAGGTATGTCTTACATTTTGTGTCTGTCTGCTACATGGAAATACCATTTCCACACTGATTTCAGGAAAATCTCTGCTTTCAGTATCCCAGGGTCTATTTATCTGCATATATGGGTATGGATTAGGTACAAGGGCAGAATTCTGTTGAGACTTCACTGCTTTTGTGTAACTTCTTCTATATGAAAAAAAATTAGTTTAATCACATTATAAATCTACCCAGATATTAATCATATTTTCTTCAGATTTCAAGTGACTTTTAATATAGGACCTCATTATGTTACAACCATCCTCTCACAAGCTCAATTTTTTTTTTAACATAAAAGGTGGAAAGAGCTTCAAAGAAGGAGAATGAGGATGCAAACCCMTTTTAGGTAGCATTTTAGAAAAGTTAGGTCTCTATTTGAGCTTCCTGACCAACCTCCMAAACTGCAGGTTAGTCTTCAGTTCAGCAAGAAATTATCCTTTCTTTTCACTAAAATTAACATTTGAAATCAAGATTTCTGTGATTTTAATTAATAATATTATTTATTTCAGTTATTAAGACTATACAAAGCTCAAAATGTCTATTAAAAAAAATGAGCAGAGCTGGAACTCAAGACACTGAGAACAAATGTTTGGGATAGACCATGSATAGAAATAAGCAAAATGTCCATTGTGTCTTTTATAATTACCAGACTTGCCCACTATCAAGAGTACCCACAAACTCAGAGAGCTGCTGTTTGGTATTTCAGTCACCAAGAATTTTTGAARCAGAGATTCCTATGCTTTTGAGTCTTTAGATATTGTCAAGGCAATTTACTGATCCGAATCCTCTTATTTTGTTGAATTTATTTTGACCTAAATTTTGGATTGTTTAAATTACTGGCTTTTTAACGTTTGGGGAATGTCAGATCACTTTGATAACCTATAGAAGCAGGTTGTCTCTCTCCAGAAAAATGCATGTGCCCATAGTCAACCAAATTTAATATAAAATWTCAGGGTTCAAGAATTGTTGAACCTGTTCAAAAAGCCATTGAAATATTTGGAAGATTTATATGGAACTGATGTGTTTTCATCAAGCAAAGTGATARAACCTCTTTAGACAAAACCTTCTGAAGGTCATTGAGTGATGYCAAATGCTGTGTCAAATTGCAGAGTAAATAAATACTGTATGMGATTTTGAATGATTCTGTCTCCATATTCTCAGTTTGCATGAAATTCTYCTTACATTCTGTACATTGCATTGTATTTTATCTTCAGTTAATCTTCATTTTGACGATTTTTAAAACCTTCTACCAATTTGAAACTAAAGGAAATGGAGAAAAGAGCATAATTCTAATTTGTTAAGCTCATCACATCCTTCGACCAACTATTAAACAGCACTCTAGTTGGAGGTGGAAGTTGACCACCTTTTATTGCTAAGCAGTTGAATGTCAAGAATTATGCTACTATTAGAGGACAACTACAGAAAAATCCATTTTCAGAGCATAGACCAGGTCTGTGACAATCTTAAAATGTTCATGCACAGTGTAGCAGWCACTGATATTCATGATAAAAGCCCAAGGGAACATTTGAATGGCTAAAGAAAAAGTTGGWCTGCAATTATATAGAATAAACCAGTGAACAAAAATAAGCAAAATAAATGCAGTCAGGCATGTGCATAAAACTCTTCGGACATACAGACACCTACACGTGAAAAGGCATATATTTATATCCATGTTTCTTCTTCTTTTTAAAAAATTTGTTGTTTTTAGTTATACATTATACATGACAGTAGAGTATATTTGACATATTTATACAAACATGGAGTATATCTTATTCTAATTAGGATCCCAGTCTTTTGGTTGAACATGATGTAGAGATTCACTGTGGTGATTCACACATGTACATAGAAAACTTATGTCAGATTCATTCCACTGTCTTTCCTACATCAACATTTCTTTAAAAGTGTGATAAACTTGTCATGTGGCTGAGGTAGTTTATCAATATGTGTTTTGCTAATTAGAGGGAAGAATATCAAATTTTCTCTAATTTGAATGTCCTAGTGATAACATCATGTTTCTTTACATTTTTARAATGATAGATCAAATATTTGTATAGTATTTCAGTTGATTTTTACTTGTAGAAACTCAKGTATGTTTTTATGGTGTTCTCTGATATTTAATATCAAAATTCAGAAAGTGTCCTTGGTGTTTAAGGTTGAGAAGACAACCATGTTTCTGTTTAATATCTTTATTTATTAGCTTTCATAGTTGCCACTAAACATTTCAAATCGATTTCAAATTTTTTTGTCTATAATTACATTTCTCACAAAACTGAGATGTCAGTAGCTTTACACATTTTGTAAAAAATGCATTGAGAAATGTAAGTTCCATTAAAGWGAGATATCACATTTGTCAAAATATAATTCTCAGAATGTTAAACATAATTTTTATAAACATAAGTATTGAGTACATGTCAAGATTTCATTTAGCTCAACCATCAGGTTGACAAAGCTAGTGCAAAAAAGCAGCTCTATCTGTTTCCAGAGCTATCTTAATTCTGTACCTATAACATAAATTTTGSTATCAGTCCTGAATGAGGCCATTTATTCCTCTATCAATTAATTAATTAATTCACAGAATCATTAATTTTTAAAAACTGTATACTCAGTATTTCTGGTATGAACCTCTTTTAGTCCTGATAGCTTTAGTTCCATGGTTCTTTAGCAAATATCAGACTCATCTGAAAGGTTTGCTACAACAGATCACTGGATTCCACCCCAGAGTTTCTGTAGACCTGGGGTGAGTCCTGGGAATCTGTATTTCTAACAAGTTCCTAGGTGATGCTACTGATCCATGGTGCACACTTTGAGAACCATTGATTTAGTTCTAGGCTTTGCCTGAGGATCAAGAGAGGTAGCAGGAGTAATGACTAACCCCTAGGAGTCAACGTAGTCTGTTCTCCATGCTATTCCTGTTTGCTTCTCCTGTCTCCTCTGTACACACAAGGTCAAGCACACCTATGCTTCCTCTGTCAAGTTGACATTGCTGGCAGCATAGCTGTCCTCCAGGGWTGTTCCCCATATTTGAATATCTCAAACCCCTAATGGGGGTCATTAGGGGTCAAGTCCCAGKTGTCTTCCCCACAGGGACCTGGCTTCCCACAGTTATCTCTTGTCCCTCAGTGATTTCAGTTTCACTATGAACCAGAGCTAGAAGGCTCCAAATCATGTCCTGTGAACCCAAAAGCACTTTTATCCATCAGGTATCATTTGTGAACTTCTGTTAGTAGGAAATGTTTAATGTTTGAAAGTTTGTCACCATAAGGATATAATTCTTTCAGTTTTCAATCTGCCAGTTCACTAGTCTTGTTCTGCTAGTTTATCCTTAGTTACTCATAAGAAGTAAAAGCTTTGGAGATTCCAAGGAAGTTTTAAGATTGAGAGTAGTGTTAACTCAGGGCAGAAAGCAGGTCTTTTCGATCTCTTGGAAGATTTCTGAAAGCTGGACTTCTAGAGATCATAATCAAAGTGGGCAACTGGAAGTCAGAGGTGGGAGACACTAAGCACATGCTTCAGGAGTTTGGTGGGGCAAGAAAGGAGAGGTTTAGAAAATTATCAAGTTGAGGGTCATTGAGTTTTTAGAGGGAGAACCATTGCAAACCAAAGATGAGTTTAAGTAGATGTTAGTAATGTTATAGAAATAAAATTTTAAGAAAGAAGGAGGCTCATCCCAAGATACCCAYGAGGTTAGTGATGACCTTGACATGGGAGCTTGATTTTTCTTTGTAATAGATGCTCTGTGAGTTCCAAGGCTTCTTGAGCTTCCTACATACTTCTAAGTTCCATCTGAACAGTGGATACAGTTCAGTTTTCTCCTATGATATGCCCATGTTAAACCTATGTGGAGCTCCTCAGCTTCACAAAAGGAAAGAAAAGACCAGAAGGCAGTCAGTGTCTCAAGTTAGTTCATGAATATGTAGGGTAACAATCGAGTATCTCCTGCAAGTTTTATGTGGGAGTGCTTCTAAGAAGCTCCATGTAAAAAAATAATAATAATCTCAAAGCAAAGTCATGTTTCTGTTTCTGTTTCTGGTAGAGCCTACTTTGATCTTCTCACCATTCCTTTGTTCAGGAAAGGGTGGGCACTTCTAGAAGAGGGTGATGTGACAAAATTGTCAGGGGGGGAAGCCCCTTGGGGAATTCACATGGGGCCACGGGCATGTGTGTCTCTTTCCAGGACCATGAAACCTCCTTCCCCAGGGCACTCTCGGCTCAGAGGCTGTCCCCTCGGTGGTGCTTCCTAGATGGTGAGTGTGGCTTTTCTTCACCAGGGCCTGGAGGGGGTTGGAGCCAGCAGGGCAGGGCATGGATTGATAGAAGGACTAGTTTTCCAAAGATCATTCCAAAAGCTTTTCTGGGACCACAATTGGTATTTGCATCTCAAATGAGGTGGCTTGCTGATGCCACAGCACCTCTGCCTAAGTTACTTCCTCCAAGCGCTTGGTTAACAGCTGGTGGAACTCAGTATCACATTGCTCAAGCTAACATTTTTCTTTTATCACCCCACTTTGGCTATAACTGCTGATGGCCTCCCTTAAATTGATTCAGGCCAGTGGGTAGATTCTACATGCACAAGATGGGAACTGATTTCTATATTATTTGCATGTCATGGAGCTTCCATGTTATTTTTATGAGACAATCATTTCATTTTAATGTATACATTTTTGTAACAAGGATACAAAATTTCAGTTGCACTCACATCTGCTGTAGTGAGCATGACAGATTGCATGCATGTTGGGGATTGTTTAATGAGTCCATTTCCCATCTCAAGCTTTTCTCACTCTTATAGATACATCCTAATCCCATTTTTTTAATCCAGTCATTTGTACTGAAATACATTCTTAACTCTACACATTGTTATTTATATACTACCCAACGTTTCTACCACCCGGTCTCTCTGTTGTCTATATGGAGACATGGTTTTCACTGTAGACCTCTCTTATTTATCTGAGAGGACATAGGTGTAGGTCAGAGTGACAGTGTGTGTGAGTTGCAATGGCTAGGAAGGTGGGCACCCATATCTACGTGAGCCCTAGTCCATGTAAATCAGATGTAGGTTTTCACTAATGCTCATCAGCCGCCTCCTCGRACTCAGCACAATCATTTGTTGCTCCTGGATTAACAGAGGAACATCTCAATTTGAAGAAAATTATGAAAGTACTTATATGTTATTATAAAAATGTTATGTTCTATGTACAGTCTTAGTGGATAATGGTGTTGATAATGGTTTTAATCTAGATATTATTTTACTCTATAAAGAGTTTCATTGAAAACCTTTTAATGGTTAACTCATGGTTAAAATCATGCCTGAAACCGGCTAAGAACAGARTAGAATAAGTCATTTTAGAGGCAGATTTTACTCTAGTCTTACATTTTAAAGAGCARTGACCTTGATTGTCTTAGTTCTTAACTCAGTTTTATTTAGAGAAAAACTGCTCTTAAAAAATTGTGATTTTTAAATGATAAATTGTGTTTTTGAGTTTTTCTCTCATGCTATTTTTTCTTTCTTTTTTTGTAAAACATCTGTAATATGTGAACTCTTGGATTTAAGGGAGGAGAAATAATTTTTTTTAAATATTAGGAATACTCAAAATAATTTCTAGATACTCAAAATATGTACTTTTGTTTTCTTTTTTTTTTTCATACCACAGATGCACCTCAATTCCTCTCAGAGAATGATCTGTATCTCCATCTATACCATATCCATATCTCTATCTACTTTGTTTGTTTCCTTCAGATAGGCCTCTAAGGACGCAGTTTGAAAGTCATGTGATGGCTTTAAGGCCAGCTGTGTTTCCGGCTGCATCTTCATTCAGGCCCTTCCTTAGGAAGTCTGGGGTTTTTTGTTTGTTTGKTTGTTTTTCTGGYTTTCTTTATGTAATAAAGCTCTATTCAAGGTCTTATAAAAATTTCTAAAGACATAAAAGAATAAATGAAACAGAAACCTTTAAAGAAGCTAGCTAGTATCTTATTCTCATAGCTATGGGTGAAATTCATCTGTGTAACAAGTTTAAATAATATATAAACATGCACAGAGGTAATAGCAATAAATTCTTTCCAGGGTAGTGGATTGAATAGAGGAAAGTATCATAGAAGTAGAGACATTTGAGTTGTTCCTTAAAAGACAAGGAAGAGTAGATTGCAGATGTGATGGGGAAGGCCTTTCTAAGCATTGGAACAGCGGTGGCTCAGGGCTGAGTTTTTCTTAATAGACTTAGGGAGTGGCCAGGTGTGGTCACTAGTGTGACCGAAATGCAAAGGTTTTGATTGGCAYAGTGGGAAAAGATAAGGCTGTAAATTTGGTGACAAATCACAGATGAACCTGAATACTATGTGCTTTTTTTTTCTTTATCCCCTAGCAACTTCTGCTGACCGCTTTTATCGAATAGACAGATCTCAGGTAAGTTTCCTTCAGCCTGTTGACAAAATTGAAAAACTCCAAAGTCTGTATACTGTATTTATAGCTCGTCTCCTAAGTTTTTCCAACAAAAGCCATGCCACTTCACCATGACTTCATCCTGGGAGAGGAAGTCCAAGCTGTCAGGTACTGATGCTGGACCAAGAGGCACGTGCGGTGTCAGCTCTTTGTTAGTATTTGGGAAGAAGAGGCAAGGCTAATTCTGGTTACACTTCACAAGATCCTGGTCAACTGGGAATCCTGAACCAAGGGGGATTCATCTCTCCCCATGGCCCTCTGCCTGCTGCAGGGGAAAACATCAATTGCTTCGGCTTGGTGTACGGAGTTGCATTCTTCTTCACGACCAAGGATGCTGTGTTCTGCTATTGTTTAGCTGATGGATGTGAGCATCTTGTCAGTCATCTGACAGGTTCATTTTTCTTCCTTAGGAACATTTGCACTTCGTGATGGAGATTTCCCAAGATGAGATTTTTATTCTCGACCCAGATATGGTGGTGTCACAGCAGGCGGGGACACCTCCCGGCATGCCTGATCTGGTAGTAGAGCAGGCCTCAGGGTGAGTGAGCTTCTCCTTGGTTGGCACCAGCATCAGGCTGGCCTCAGGGTGACCTCTGGGTCTGGCTTGGCTTTTGAAGTTGACATTGAAATCCAGCAAACTATTCTGAGGTGCAGATTTTCTGGTGTTTTTTTTTCTTTTTTATCGAGTGAGGTGTAGCTTGTTGTGTGGTTAGTCTGACTTAGGAGTAGCTGTGTAGAATGCACATTGCCAACTAGATTTGTGTCATGCGGGAGCCTTCTTTAACCATTACACCAACACATCCTACCAGACCTAGAAGCCACAGGTACTTGCATCTGTGCATCTGTGCCCATTTATTTGGTCTGTTATCCAAACAAAAAGTTGACAGAGGGGATGTGACAGTGATTGTCTTCTTCTCCACTGTTTCCAGGCTGAGATATGTAGATTATATAACAAGGACTGTGACATGTCAGTCTCTCACTAAGAGCCACACCCTGTGCTGTATGCCCCTCCWGTATTCTCCGAGTGAATTAATCATTGGAAGTGCTCTGTGCTTGTTTTCTTTCCTGTGAAATGTAATAACAATTATTTCTACTCAGAGAAGTTGTTTGAAGAGTAAACGAACTGATGGAGGTAAAACATTTAGAATAGATTCTGGCCCTTTGATRGACATTGATTAAATATTATGTTATTAAAARTCACAATCATCATTTTATAATGATGCCACTTAGTTTTTATTATCTTAAATCCATACATAAGAAAAYTGAGGTTTAGGGGGTTATGTTTCTYGCTTAATACCTCACAGAAAACAAATGGAAAACCTGGGGTTCAGTCAGCTCTGATGCCAGAGCCCAGGCATTTACCAATTACACTACCAAAATAGTGTTAACGTTTCTAGGCGATTTCAAAAATTTCTAACAATTCAAAAATATTTATTTGAAGCTGTTTTGTGTAAGAGATACTAGTGTAAGACTTGRGAAACAACAGTGCAAAMGTTAAGCAKAGGGGGCTGGGGTTGTGGCTCAGTGGTAGCAGACTTGCCTAGCATGTGTGAGGCACTGGGTTCGATTCTCAGCACCATGTATAAAGAAATAAAATAAAGGTCCATCGACAACTAAAAAAAATTAAAATAAAAAAATTAAAATAAAATTAAAAAAAATTAAAATAAAATAAAAAAATTAAAATAAAATAAAAGCAGAGGAGGGGGTTTTCTGGTATATGGGGGGCTGAAGAGGTGAAATGAGAACAGTCCTGGAGAGCAGACTGGCCTGTTCACATGCTCACAGTATAAACAGGCATGTTCATCGGAGTTAACTTTCTCCGTTGGCCCCCTTCACTTAATTCACTTTCCGTTTCAATTTTTGTCCATTGCTGCTATTTTTTATCGTGTGCTACTCCACCAGGGCCAGCCGATGTCCACGGTATATGCTGAGTKTGTGGGGATCAGGAGTGGGTTGACATGGAAGCATGGAACCATCCAGAGTTGCATGTAGAAAGTCAGTGCCACTAGAACTGTGCTGGCCTGAGGCGAAGGTCCCAGGCAAGGGGGTGGCCTAATGTAACCCCAGATGTCCCAAAGGCCACCTTTGTGTGTTATGGCTCTACCTCCAACYTGTCAGCTGTGGGAAAGCAGGTGTGATGCCACATCCCAATGCAACAGTGGCCGGCGCTGGCATCTGGGGTCCTCCTGCCCCGCAAGTCAAGTGCTCACCTGTGGTTGGATGAGGWGTGAGGCTGCCCTGTCAAGGCTGCCCTCGGCATTGACCCCTCACTCTCTCCATGTCAAATACTGGCCAGGAAAAATGGATTTTCCCTTGGTTACACCTCTTAGCTCCAAATATAAGTAGCCGGAAAATCCACTACAACTCTAACCCACCCCTTTCTTACTTCTTATGGTTCTCAAGAAATAAACTAGGATCCAAGAACAATGAAGGAGGATGGGCTTTGTAACTTTCTAACCTGCATTTCTGTGCCAGGCTCTCTATTGCTTYTGACTCCCACCACATGTAAAAATCACCTAATATTTTTTATTTTTTATTTTATTTTTTGTTCCCAGGAATTGAACCCAAGGATGCTCAACTACTGAGCCACATTCCCAGCCCCTTTTTAAATATTTTATTTAGAGACAGGGTCTTGCTGTGTCGCTCAGGGCCTCACTAAGTTGCTGAGGCTGGTTTTGAACTTGTGATCCTCCTGCTTCAGCCTCCCAAGCTGCTGGGATTACAGGCATGTGCCGCCCCGGGCCCAGCAAAATCATCTCATCTTGACGTTCAGTTTATCTGTGAAAAAGGTGAAATCCTCCAATTAGTTCATATAACAAAGAGTCAATGAAATATGGAAATGTGAAACAAACTCTCAGTCAAGGTGGATTTCACTTCTCCAGTGTAGAGAAAAGGGCCTTCCTAAAATAGGACAGAGTTAATCACTTGCTGACTTTTGGTGCTTAACTGTCTGGTGCCTTTCTTTCTCCCAGGCTGTCAGACTGGTGGAATCCTGCCCTGCGGAAACGCATGCTGAGTGATAGTGGGCTGGGGATGATAACTCCCCATTACGAGGATTCAGATATGAAAGATTTCAGCCACTCCCGTGTGCTACAGTGAGTCTYTGGCCATCTTCCTTGGTGCCACTGTGATTGTTGGGAGATTTGTACCCTATGTCATTTACTAATAGCACAGTCTCCCTTTTCAGTGGTGCTCAAGCTGTCTCATGTCTGTGTCACTGTGGCTTGACATTTTATTTTCTTGCTCACTTTTATTGACCTCAAGCTCCTGAAGGAACTTCCATTTGTCTTGCTCGGGAGCTACCTTGAGACTGCATGCGGATCTCTCAATATTTTGATTTCCACCAGTGTTTTCTTTACTGGCATCCAGTATTTGTCAGATGTTCTTGCTTACCACATCATGGAGACATGCATGAGCGTAATCGTGAATAAGTAGTTGGGAGGTGACCCATAGTTTTTCATCTGTGTGACCTTGTGTCAAGAGATGAGCCTCTGCATGTTTGCTCTGCATATTATTGTCAAGTAGCTCTTTTGCCTGAAGTGGGGTGCTGCTTGTGTGTGGTTGCAGTCTCTGTGGGCGAACGAACACAGTATTTGTTCAGAGATCAGAATAGCAGGTGTCCTTTCTTCTCAGACCTGATCTTGGGTAGAAAGAAGGATGCAGRTTTGAGCTTTGCAAGAGTGTTGGCACCTGGTTCTCAGTGAACCCTCCCTTCTCCTATCCCTAAGTGCAAGTGCAGACACACCCTCTTGCACCCACTGTTTAGTTTCAGGCCAATGGCCCCATCAAGTTCACTGCAATTCAGGAAAGTAGGCTGGTTTCCAGTCCTCTTGGGGTGCTCATCAAATAGTGACCATGGCCTTGTCACACCCAATCTCACCTTTTGACAGAAAAACAAGAGGCTAAGATTCTTAGGAGCCCAGGGTTAACTGAAGGGGGAAGACAGTGCATTGTTTCTAAAAGAGGACCCGGAAGCAATTTCAGCATGACAAAGGAGAGAAAAATGAGAAATCCGAAGAAGAAGCTAATTATTTTATTGGCAAAGGTTCTACTCAGACACCCGGAGGGCAGAAAGAGACTTCATTTTAATTACTCCTTGGTATTACCYCCTATTTTCTTATGTGAAGGGGAGTAAAGGGAAAATAATGAATTAGTATAGATTTTCTTTTTTAATTAAACATGTTGTTGGTTCCGATGGCATTTTGATTGCTTACAATTCAGGGTGTTTCTCCACTTTGTTTTTATACAGAATTAGGGCTTGAGAAGCAGGGCTCGTCAGCCACCCATGAATAGCTTTTAAAAAAAGTGGTTGTCTATCTGTGGGCAGACTTATTGGAAAATTAGAGTTTAATTAGCTGCAGAAATAGAAATCAAGCCCATACAAAACAGCTGAATGTTTTAGTGTACAGTTTCCAAAAAAATGGAATATGATCTCAATCTAGTTTTCTATGCCCCGATTTTTCTATATAGGACATATTGATGTACATGGATATATGAAGGAATTACTTCTAAAGTAGTAAATGTTTTTCCCCCAAATCACAAACAAATGTTCCACTGAACATGGTAGCCCAAGTTTTTAAAACACCATGTCTAAATCAATGTTGATTTTTTTTTTTTWATTTAGGTTATACAATTGGCCCTTCGTGTCACTTGGGATGGGTTCCAGGACCTACCACAGTTACCCAAATCTGTGGATGGTCTAGGCCCTTGTGTGAAATGGTGCTGTGTTTGCATATAGCTCACCTCTAGATTTCCTATAATACCTAATACAATGTAGATGCTATATAAATTGTTACACTGTATTGTTTGAGAAATCCTGACAAGAAAAATTAAAAAGACTGTACATATTTAGTTCACATATATTTTCAAATATTTTTATCCTCAGTAGGTTGTATCCATGGATCCCTGCATATGCAGGACCCAATATTATCCTTTTAGGAATTTCTCTTAAATTTTTTGTGGATCTTTGATTGATAGCTGTCGATTTTCGGGAGTCACAGTGAAGCCTTCACATGCAGTCTCCACACACTCAGCAGAACAAACAGGCCATCATCTTGGGCTCCGTCTCCATCTCAGACTCMCTGAAGATCTATACACACATAAATGGTTGTTTGAWTTTACATTTTCTAAAAAAAGAGGTCAAAACTAAACTAAGTACTTTACCAGCACATGTGCACTGACTCTTTGCTTTGTTATTAGTATGTCCTTTACTTCCATAGGAGGAACCTCTTTTGGTCTGTTTGGAGATCATCTCTGATATAGACAGATAAGTAGAGCTATGGAGATACCTCATGTTATAATAGCTACTGTTATGGAATACATCCTGCTGGCTTTTCACCATAATGARATTATCTTTAATTCTTTCAACGACTTTTAAATTTAGCCCTTGCCTAACATATGAGTAAATTGAGGCTCATAGAGGGTAAAATATTTAATTTAGTCACCCGAGAGCAAGTGCAATTTGAATGAGGTCAGTTTGGCTCAAATGACATCATGCTTTTCCACTAGTATATTGCCTTCCCAAAGGTACCATGCAAG